ACAGGCTTGTTCCTACCAGCTTAACAAATTTGAAAAGTAATTTGGGCATTTTCTCTGAGCCAGTAGCGCCAGGACTGGCAGGACAGGACACAGGAGAAGGAAGCAGGATGCTGGCTGACAGTGCCCTTTGCACCTGGAGATCAGTGAAGATCAGAAGGTGCAGAGGAGCTTCCCCACCAGTTTGGGAGTGCAGCTGCTGTCCCAGGAGCCCTGGCTTTTCATCCTTGCTCTCTGGCACCAGGCAGGAGCTAATACGCAGAAGAACATAACACAGGCACTGGCAGGATCCAGGTGAGCACCCCTAAGTGCTGCAGGGGCTACACCAACCTTTGCCAACCATGCGAAGCAAGTCTCTGTGGCACACAGCCCAGTGCTTTGAAGACCTTGTCATCACCTTGCCAGGGCTGGGAGCAGGCTCACAGGAGTCATCCCCTGTCCCCAAGTGCTAGGCATCACTCTGTGACTCAGCTTCCCCAGCTCTGAAAGGATCCTGACAGACTTCCAGTAAACACCTTGAAGCCTGTGGTGCTGCCTAAGAGCAAAAGCCATGAAAATCCAAGAAAATCACCAGTTTAGCTGCCCAGAAGCCAAACAGCTTTCACTGCTGTGACAGGACCACGCGGCCACACCTCCCTAAGGGCAACAGTTCCCCATGGGGACACTCCTGCCAGCTAGAAGCAGGAGCACTCTAGAAGACAGGGGTCCTCCTGCAGCATGGACCCCAGAAGCCCTATGGCCGTCCAGAGCCAAAACCACCATGTACCACTAACCTGGCTGCAGCCAGGGAAGGCACAGTAGCCAACCCTGGCCTGCTTCCCCCACTTTGTAATGTATAGACATCAGGATTAATTAGGGTCTAGTGTATAGTCTCAGCCAAGTCCAGCTATTGTTGCTGCCAACTCCCATTTCATTGTCCAGTTTGGTGTTTCTCCCCCCTCTCCTTCCCTTTATTCTGGGCACAAACGCTCTCTCTGTTTACTGGAGTTGATCTCAATGTGTAGGAATCTGCTGCAGAGGTTAATTAGTGCTGCTAAATGCACTTTAACCCTTTGAGCAGTTTCAGAGGCATTGCTCTGGCATGGCAGGAGCAAGCAGCATCTTGGAGCACTCTGACCAGCAGGCAGATTTAATATCCTGCAGACAGCCATGTGTACCTGCATCGCTGTGCAGCTGGGCAGAGGTGGTCCATCTGGTTCTCAGCCTTGCTAAGGCTTTGGTCCCTTAGAGGCATTTTCATGCTTAATCTCAGTTTCAAATACCTTCCTCTGTTGAGATTGTTGCTGGAAATAGCCTTGATAGGAAAGGACAGACCAAAAAAATAAGGCTGGAAAATTAGAGGAGGGGAAGGGAAGAATCAGGGCGGACCAAGAGCTGAGACAGAGGATGTTTGGACATCAAGGGTGACAGACCAGGTGGAAGAGTTTTATAAACATGTAGGAGGGTTTCCTTGGGGCACAGTGGCAGGTCCTGAGCCTCTGCCAAGTCCAGCCTCATGCAGATGGACCCCTGGGAGAGCCAAACCTAAACCCAGAGCTTTTAACAACCAGCTTTGTACCTCTAAAAGAATGGCATCAGAATCTGGGAGGAGTTGATGAGCAGGACATCAATCCCCAGCCAGCCCTGCTGAGCACAGTTGTGTTATATCCACAGCAGACAGGTTTTTGATTAACAACCACCCTGGCTTTAGCATTTCTCTCACTAGACACTGAGAACCTGGCTTCGCAGCTCTCAAGCAGGACAGTAATTACACTTACTGCTGAGCGAGCTTTTGGATAGCATCTGGGGCTGACAAGCATGCTTGCCCCACTCTGGACCACAGCCAGGCAGGGGCCAGCACTGCAGCCTGTGCCTGGGTGCCCTTGCAGGACCTCATACTGCTGGAGCCTGACCTCTTCCTATTCACCACGTACAGTTTGTAGACAGAAGGTCATCTCCTGGCGTCTCTGAATAAACCATAGAAGCAGCAGGCTCAGCCCAACCATGCTGCAGCATCACCAGCGTTGCCTCCAGCATCACCAAAGGAGCCAGCTATATGCATCTTGCAGAGCTCCAGGGATACATCCCATACCCTGTGTGTACGGGCTGAGCATACGGCCCCTTAGCACCTATGTATGTACTCAGTGTCATGCATCACTGCCTGAAAATCAGAGAAGACTTCCATGACATTTTGTTCCCTGTCTTCACCAGTGTTTGGACAACGTCCCCAAGTCAGGACCAGCATGCCCATGTTGAAAACCGCACTCAAAGTGTCTTGTTTTGCTTGGCTCCCATGTCACACCTATGGCGTATTTACACACGAGGGCAGAGAAACAGAGGAGCTGGATCTCTGGATCAGAGAATCATAGAATAGCTTGGGATGGAAGGAAACTTGAAAGGTCATCTAGTCCAAGTTCAGCACTGCTTCCACCAAGATGGAGGGTTTCTTACACATGGACAATTTACAGATGGCAATTTTCTTCAGGAAGGATGGAGGAAGGATGGGAGAAGCACACAGTTGCTGCCCCAGGGACCTGAGGAGGTCTTAAACCTCTGCCCAGTCAGAAGCACTATGAGCCACACCAGGTAAAATCACTCCTTCATCAAAACATCCTGCAATCAATAACAGAACAGCCTGCTCTTTGGGTACAATTCAGAGGAACTGGAAAAGGGACAACAGGAAAATCCCTTGAAAGTGTCTGCCAAGGAGAGGTGGCCAGCAAGGAGCACTAACTGTAGGAGCAGCTCGCCCTCCTGTACCGCTGCTGAGCCCAGAGCTGGTCCGTTGCCGCAATCTTCATCCCCCTCCGCTTCTCTGGCACCGTGATTCTTTAGAGCAACTGTGCAAAGCAAAAGGAATTGACTTCAGTGCTGCAGTAACACACACAAGCCACCACCACAAACATCTGAAATGTGGGCATGGCTGCAAAGCTAGACAACACTGTGCCAGGGGAAGCAGTGATGTAGTTAGCCCTTTGCTTCACCCCCCTAAAAGAGCTGATTTTAACAGGATATTTCCTGATCCCCGCAACACCCTCAACTTCGCCCCCGCCCTGACCGTGAACAACCTACAAGTAAAGAGCCCTTAAAGCCAGGGATCATTAAAGCAGATAGGCATCAGCAGCATACCTACAGGTCCTGTGTTTACCAGCAGTTAACTGCAACCAGCAGCACAAAAGAACATGTTTAGTGAGATCACTAAATCTCTCCTATCATTCAGCCATAGCTAGGCGTGGCAGCAGCTCTGCTCTTCCTGGGGCAGTCAGTGCTTCCAGCATTTCTTTGCAATGCCGAACTAGAACAGAGCAGCTCATGCATGCCCTGACTCTGCAAAGGACAGTGGACCAACAGCAGCAAAAGCCTGCCCTACACAAAAGGCATTGCAGCAAACCCCACTCTTCCAGGATAAGGAACATGTCTTTTTGAAGGGTACAATCCGGATAAGACAGCCCAGTCAATGATGTTTCCTTGCTGTTCAGCAACATGATGGGTTTATTCAATCAAATTGAGGCAAGCCACAGCTCACAACAGGACAAAAACAAGATGGAAAACCACACACCTGGATACAAACATAGACACCTGCGGTCACAGCAATCGATGCAGTCAACACAGATGAGGAAATTCGTCACTCAGTATAGCTAAAAGACACGTCTGTAAATTTTGTACTGTACTCCTCAAGAGAACAAATCCTGGGAATATTTTAGGGTGGATAATATTTAAAGAGTAAGGTAACAAGCCTGTTCATGGCAGGCCTGTCCAGGCAACAGTGGAAACTGCAGCAAAGCTGGAAAGCTTCTTGCAAGCACTGTGAGGACAGGGGACAGCATTTGGCCACTGGTAAACCACTGCAGGCTGCCTGGTGCACTCCCTTGCTCCTGCTCAGGGAGAGCAAACGCCTTTCCCATCTCCTGTGCTACGCAGGCCAAGGAGCTGCCGCGCTCAGATGTGATGGGAGTGTGATAAATAATTTAGTCTAAAACAGGATTCCAA